TATGGCAACCCTTCTGATTGTAAGCAACCAATATGTGAGAATGAAGAGCAGACAGCTAAGCATGGTGAGAACACAAAGCTAGAATGAGCCTGAGTGGGTTATATTTTTGGCTCACTGACCCAGTTCTGAGACTGTCTGCTTCCGAAATTCTTGTAAAATAAACACAAAATGTTTTTACAGCTTAAACCACTACTCATAGTTTTCTGTTTCTTTCCACCAGAAGCATTTTTTTTTTTTTTTTTCGAGACAAGGTCTTGCTCCACTGTCAAAGCTGGAATGCAGTGGCGTGGTGGCGTGATCACGGCTCACTGCAGCCTCTATCTCCCAGGCTCAAGCAATCCTCCCACCTCAACCTCCTGAGTAGCTGGGACTACAGGCGCGCACCACAACCACAGCTAGCTATTTTTAAAATTTTTTTATTTTTACTAGAGATGGAGTTTCACCATGTTGCCTATACTGGTCTCAAACTCCTGAGCTCAAGCAATCCTCCTCCTTGGTCTCCCAAAGTGCTGGGATTATAGTCGTGAGCTGCCAGAAACCTTCTTAACTGGTACAAGTTAAGAAAGCTTTTTTTTTTTTTTTCCCTATTCCTAGCTTTATGAGTATTTTTAAAACCGGAAATGAGTGTTATGATCAACCAAATGTCTCTCTGAAAATGACTTTCAAATAACAGTAAATACTTAAATTGTGCTTAATATATGGAAGGCACTGTTCTAAAAATTTTTCATTTATGAACTAATGTAATCTTTATAGCACCTCTATTGGGTACATATTACTCTTTTCCATATTTTACAAATGAGGAAACTAAGACACAGAGAGGTTAGTTGAATTGCCCAAGGTCACACAGTTAGTAAGTGACAAAGCCAGGATTTGAACCCAAACAGTTTGGTTCTAGAATCCTGGATCTTACTGTATCTCTAGTATTGAAAATGACCCATGGACCACAATATGTATTTCTCAGTTCTATCATAATTTTATTTTTATTTGTCTTTATTATTTGGTCAAATTAATGGCAAGTGAGTATGAATTAAGTATTTTTTACTATAAAAAGAAAGCACTAGTAAAATTCATTTGATCAAGCTTCAAAGCAAACCTTGGCTATTCTTACTCATTAATTTTCTTAGTTTGACTCCACAAATTCATTTCTTAGCCTTCTTTTTTTCTTTCTGAGACTTAAAAGAACAATATCCCTTTTTTATTCCTACTAAAGCTAGAATTGTAATGGATGAATTAAGGTAATTTTTCCCATTTCTTTGACTTGTCTTGATTTTGGCCATATTTTCTGCTTTTTCCTCCCTTCCTTCTTTGATGAAGGACAGTGATGCTTTTGTTCTGTCATCTAAGAAAGCAGCATAGAAGCAAACAAAAAAGAAAATGAGAATTTACTGCACCCACCCACTCCTGGGTTTTTATGAGTCATCTTTTTTGTCCTATCCAGATAGTGCATAACTCAACAAATATGGACAAGGTCTTAAAATCCTGTTGGCATTTCCTAAATAATAAATGGTAATAACAGAGCAACCTGGCAAAAGCAGTTATATAAGTAAGATGTAAACCTAGATTATCTACAATTCATGGTATAATGGGAATTGCTTTTCAGCTTTCTAGAAGTTGGCAATAGAAAATTATGTTGATACTTTATAATCTTTCAAGGCATTTGTTCTATTTTTCTTCTTTCATATTCTTTAGGTATTGATTGGCATCTGGCAATGCCTTTGGAAATACAATAAATTCAAAATAACTAAACAGGAGTTTGTGCAAAAAATAATTGTTAGTGGCCTGACTACAGTCTAACTATCATTGTAGGCTTGTTCTATTTACTACCACCTGGGAAGACATGGAATTTCTGTGTGTGTACAAATATAGTGCTATTTAATTCATAGATTTATTATAACCATCATCATCATCACTACCTTTATCATTATCAGTGTGATAATGGTAATATCACAAATTACCATAACAATAATTTTCAGGATTATAGGAGGTTTTTGCATATCTGCCATTTGTTATAATTCATTTTCTAGTGATTAAAAAAAATCATTGCTAGGTGTGTAATTAAATGTCAGTGAATCTATATAATTAATCTGTATTCTGTAATAAACACTACAATCTCAACCTCACATAAATCCATGAATTAAGAACTATATCTTTGGCAAATATATATGAGAAAGGGTGTATAAATATTTTCTATAATGTAAATGTGAAGTTTATTTTAGCAAAGCCAGTCAGAAGGGCAGAAAAATAAAAATGATGCAGGCAGAAGGATTGATAATATTCACAAGGACAGAGGCAGGAGTATTTATAATGTTCACAGTCACAGAAGAAAATACAGAGCAAGATGGACCATGAAAATGAAAACATCAGAATAGAGTGAGGAGAAATTCAATAAAGACAAGAAGATTTAGAGACTTGAAAGGGAAGCTTGAAACTATTTATTGCTTTGCTATAGAAAGCAGTGGAACCAAATAAAGAATAAAATAAAAATAAGGAGGTTGGAGGAGGAGATATTCTAGGGAATTTAGATAAGGAATTTGAGTCTATTGGGAATGCGAGTGTTTGGAAATATACATACATCTCTCCATTCAATTTCACGCTTGCAGGAGCACAGATGAGAAACTAAAAATAAAAAGAAAGGCAAGACCTTTAGTGGGGTTTCTCAGGGCATTACCTCATGAGTACTGTTTTGAAGGAAGACCGCCTTCCATGCTCTTTAGCTTTTATTTTACTTTACTCCATAATGGAATTTAGATAAATTCCCTGTGTAACATCTTCATAGGCACAAGTTTTAGAAAAGTCCACTATTCCCTTCTCTATAGCATAGCTTCATGGTGGACTATTGTCATGCACAGCCTTCTGTGTGAGGATGTCTTAACTCAACTCCCAAGAAGTTCTGGGTTCAAATCCTTCTTCTTCAAGCTACTACCAGTGTCACTGAGAAATCCTATAGGCTTCAATTTCTTTACCTGTAAAATTGGGAAAACAACTGTACTTAATGCATAGGTTGTTGTGAGATATCAGATAAGCATAATGCATGGAACAGTGAATGTTCAACAGCCGATATTATTTCTTTAACATGAACAATCTTATAACCATCAATATAGTCTTTACCTACCTGTTATTAATACTTTGCCTAATGGCTTAGTATTGTACTGACAGAAAGCTCACTCTGCCTAAGCAAGTGTTAAATTTATTCTGGGCATGATGAGGACTTTTACCTGGTTTTATTGATTTAGAAAGATAAAGAAATTTAGTGCCTATTTATGATAATGTAAAAATTACTATGTATCAGAGAAAAAGGCATATTAAAAGAAACCTATTTTTTAGAAATGAATAGAAACCAATCAATGTGACCTTGAGACTTTAGCAAGATGAAGTTTGAGATATCACGTGGTCATGAAGATGGAGGATGCAGTGAGGCAGGGCAGGCTGGGGTGGTGAATATGCCTCTGGGACTTTTCTTGGCCTAACTTGATCCTGCTCTAATTGAAAACAGGAGCATAATCAAGAAAATGGCTCTTGTGATTAAAAAAACATTTAATATGTATTTATTAATATACATATATGACCACATATTTACATAAATATTAAATACTTATAAAATAGTAAATATATATACAAGTAGATTAATTATTTTAATGGAAAAACTCATGAAACCACTGTCTGGACAAAGAAACAGAACGGTGCCAGCACTCCAGAAACTGTTCATGTGTCCTCCTCAACAACAATTCCTTTTCCTGCCTTAAACTTAAATACTATTGTGACATCTATAGTAATCACTTCTTTAATAGTTTTTCATAAATAAAGTTATGTGATAAATGTTAATTCTAAACTTTAAAAACTTATTATGTAGTGTGATCCTGATTTGTACATAAGACCAGAAGTGTACTAAATTGTGGGTGTCAATTTTAATTTGTGACTGAATGTCTTTACCTACCTGGGTTTTGCTTAATGCTATGTTAATAGAGAACTTTTTTCTATACTGAGGCCAGATTTGTTTATATTAGGTTTGTTTAACTATGATTTGAGGTCATTTATGATCTCTCAGATTTCCACTACTCCCAATCGAATGGAAATTGATTTTAGGACTTCTGAGTACTTATCAGGTACCATACCGTAGTTGGCAGTCTGATAAATATTTTTGCATAGTATATTATTTTAAATCCCTTTACTTTCAACCTTTCTGTATTTTGTATATGTTGGAAACAGAATATTGCTATTTTTAGTAGTATTTTAAAATATTTCTCTTAATAATTTTTCTGTTTTAATTAGAAGATTTTGTACATTTATGTTTATTGTAATTGCCACTATCCTTAGGTTTAAAGCCGCCATTTTAATATTTAGTTTATTCTTGTCTCACCTTGTTTATATATATTTTTTCTTTTTTTTCTTTTCAGAAATGAGGGCTTACTGTGTTGCCCAGGCTGGTCTTGAACTCCTGGGCACAAGTGATTCACTTGCCTCAGCTTCCCAGAGTGTTGGGATAACATACAGGTGGGAGCTACTGTGCCCAGTCTGTTCATGTTCTTTTTCCTCTTGTTTCTTTTCTTTATGATCTATTCCATCATTAGCTTGATGGCTATATACTCTTTTACTATCCTTTTATTTGCTGATTAATCTAGAAATTTAAAAATGTAGACTTTATTTATTCTGATTCTATTTAAACAATATTTAAAAATATTTATTATTTAGTGCAGTCTGCTTATAGTGATTTTTCTTTTTTGGTTTGTCTGAAAATGTCTTTTTTTTTCATTTTTAAAGTACATGTTGCTGGTTATAGGTTGACAGCTATCAGTATTTGAATGATATTCTGTTGCCTTGTAGATTCCATTGTTGCAGTTGCTATTTCAAAGTCAATTTGTCTTTTTATTTCTCTGGCTGCTTTTAAGATTTTCTCCTCATCTTTGAATTTCAGTGGTTTTATTGTTGTGTACCTTTAGGGTTGCCCTTTTTATTTGTTTTTCTTGGAATATTTTAGAGTTCTTCAATTGTTATGTGTTTGGTCAATTTTGGAAATTCTCAATCATTTTATCTTTAAATATTGCTTCTACTCTATTTTCTCTCTTCTCTCTAGGACTTCAATAACAAGAATTAGAGCTTCTCATGGTATTGTCTATGTCTCTTAAATTATTTGCTTGATTCTCCATTGTTTTATGTCTCTCCTTCATCTAGATATTTTCTTTTGACTTATGTTCTAGTTAGCTTTCTAATTTTCTTATCAACTGTGTAATCTCCATTAAGGTGATATTTTTCAGTTCCAGATTTTCATTTACTTTTGTAGTTTCCAGCTCTCTGCCAAAGTGTCCAATCCTGTATCTTACTTCCTTGAACATTAGCCTGATTCTCCTGAACTCTGTTTTTATCATCTATTGTTTCTTTGGATTTGTGGGCATGTCATCTTGGCTACTGATACATCTGGTTATTTATGAGTACATGCTAGCCATTGATTTGAAAATTGTAAAAACAATTTGAAGTCTAAGATGCTATCTTCTCTCAGAGAGGATTAACCTTGGTTACTGGCAAGTGGCCAGAAGCAGTAGAGATAAAGGATCGAGATAAAGGATCACATTAATTCCACTTCAGAGATGATTTGAAGTTAGACTTTTGTTTCTGTGAAGAGTGGTCTACTTCTCATTTACTCCCTTTGGCCAGAGCCTTGGGGTTAAATGGAGATAATGATACCACCAATTTCATAGGGCAATAAACATTCATGTAAAGCACTTAAGCACAGTGCTTGTATACAGTCTCTGCTTAAAACTGTTAGTTAATATTGTTAAGAATCAATAGAGGAAGGTTGGGGTTATGATTCTACTACGAATTTACTTAATTATTCAGGGTAAGTTGTGGACCTTCTCTAAGCCTCAGTTCCTTCATTTGCAAAATGAGAAAGTTAGATGAAATGACTTCTAAAGTCCCTTTAAGCTCTAAAATTTTATCACCATGCAAGTCTTAAAGAGAATTGCAAACTCATTCTGCCTTCTTCTCAACCCAATCCATCAGGAATATTTGTTACAAAAATATGTTATCAGGAAAAATATAACTTTCCTGGTAATTTATAGGGCTATATGCAGGGCAGTTTGGGTTGATAGCTTAGTGGAGTTATCACTCCACTAAGAGTGATTGTTCTTCAGATCATTAAATTATTAAAACAATCACACACTGATATGGCTGCTGTGCTTCTACTGTTTTGTTTGAAAGACATTCATTAACAGAGGTAGAAAGACCAAGAGATATCTGTGAAAGGTTAAGGCCATGTTTCTCCCTAGTGTGGATTAACGTTGTCTTTCACAACTGCCATACTTTGTTTAGTAATGAAAAAGTGGAAATCTTACTTTAAAAAGATAATTTTTTAAATATTAGACTTCTTTTTGCATTCAAAGCTAAAGTGATGCATAACTTTAATTATAAGAGAATTTCAAAATCGTTCTTTAATTCTACCTTATCTTCCTGTCTACAGATTCATAATCTACATGTTCTTCATGTGTAGTCTCTACTAGTTCAGAATCAAATATGTCAATTCTATTGTACTATTTAGAGCATTACATGGCAGTGACATCAAATTAGCATATATATTATTTTCTTCACTTTGACTATGTTTAAAATGTCGCTAAGATTTTCTTTGTCTTAGCTATATTAAGGAAAAATATAGCCAAAGAATGTTAGTTACCAAATCCTTAATGCCTGTTGCTTGTTTTTAATCTTTTAACAGAAATATTGACAATATACTCTGAGTCAGAACATAAAGATGTTATCCAAAATTCTCTTAGTAGTATATACAGCTTTCCAGACTACATATCTCCAAGAAAAATCTTGGATTACTTTAAACATATAATTCAAGAATCTGAAAAATGTTCTTACCTTAAACAATTTAAACAAATGCGATTTTGTGAGTTTTTTGGTGGATATCGTCTCAGTGGACTCAAGGACAATCTCACTTTCTCATCCATCTCCTTGTGATAAAATGACAGGCATTTCAAGAGATAAGAGGCAGGCTGCTGCCCACTCAAAAGCATCATTCCACCCATCAGGCAGAGCGCCCAAATTAAGGATCGTAGCAATTACACACAAGCAACAGCATGGAAAAGAAGCCAGTGCTGCAGAGGTGATCTGGATCCAGGAAGAAAGGGAAGATACCTTCAATCAAAAAGTAAGTCTGTCATTTCTAACATGTGGTCTTGCCTGTCTTTTCTGCAGAATTTTAAATGCTACTACAGTTTCTTCAACTTCTTTCCTCCTCCAAGGCTGAATCATCACTAATGTTTACTAAAGAAAGTGTGTTCTATTCCTTGGTCTTAAGAAAGATGACTGAGTTTTTTCTCAGCCTCAAAGAAAAAGAGAATTATCATAGTGGAGAGACTACATGGCTTAAATTATTTTGTGGAAATGAAGTTTCATCTTGAGGTCTTGCTCTTCAATTTCTGGCTAATTAATCTTGGTCAATTTTTAAATCTCTCTCTATTACAGTTTCCTAATCTGTAAAACAGAAATAATAATAAAACCTTTAAATCCTTGATAATTGTTAGAGATTAATGTAATTATTGTTTTAAATGAATTTATGCTGAAGTAGTTCTTCTACCTTTATACCCAATGACTTTCTGGTACACAATACCTGTCTGGTAAGTAAAAGACAACAACATCAATATTGGCCAGCATTACTGCTGGACCTAGGACTGAGCTAGGTGTTTTGGAAAGTGAAAACATGGTCCTGACCTTAGCTATCTTAAAATTTAGTTATGTACATGAAAAAGATACAGTAGCAAAATTGCATTCAGTTGTGAAAATGCATTGAATTGTATACTTAAGATATGTGTAATTTTTATGCCTATTGTTAATCAACAAAAAGAACAGAAAAGTAGACAATTTTATGGCAGTTGTATAATGTATGGTGTAAAAACCTAAATACATTTATATCCTAGTTGAAAATATAGTTAGAATTAATAGCTTCCCTTTTTTGGAGCCACCACATTTATAATAATGTAGAAATCATCATAAAGCACAACATAACATGGCTACCTTTCTAGAATTGAGATTGGTTCCTAAACTGGATGAAAATCTATGTCCTATTTATAGGACAACTAAAATAATTCTCTTGTTCTGTGTTTCCATACTAGAGCTTTCCCAGAAAGTTCGAGGAAATAAGTCTTACAAAGGAGCTTGCTAAATTAACCTGTAACCCACCAAAAGCAAAAGAGGGTTCTCCCTCTAACTCTAGCAGAAAAGACTTGGGGCAGAATGCTTGATGCTTGTCTTACATATGCCTCTCTCTGAACTCTGAAGCAATCACTAAGCCTATGGGGAGAGAGCACACTCACTGTTTGGCTTATAATATGATGGGGAGTGAGGGTACTGTGACCGACAGTCCCCAGGGTAACACATTTTGGAGAATTTTTGGTTCTTTGAAGGATGTGAATCTAGGCAGACAACTCATAACTGTTTGCATAGTAAGTGAAGAAGTTTGAATATTCTTCTGTGGAGTTTCTTGATCAAAATTTCAAAGTAGAGACGGGGGGCTGATTTAAAGATAATTGCTACAATTTAGGTAGGATCAATGAGCACAATAGCTATGGAGAAGAAGGGATGTGATAAGGAGAGACTTCATATTAGGATGTAGCATCTACAGAAATGATTGACTCATTGTCTGCAGAGGACCTAGAACTAGAGCAAGATATCCATGGTGGCTCCCAGATATCCAGTTTGGGTGACCGGAGGATGGTGGTGACATTCCTCTTGAAAGGGAGATGGGAAAAGAAGTAGGTTAAGCTCGAAGAGAAGACAGTGAGCTCTGTTTGGGACATGTTGAATTGTAGAAAATAATAATGAGTTGGAAAAACATAAGTCAAATCATATCGTAAAATTTTCTTAAAATTGAAATTCTTTCAACAAATCCAGGAATTGCATAATTGAAACGTCTACAGAAGGAAAAGAAGGAAGGAAAAAAAATAGTTCAGTAACAATTTTTTTCTTGCAAAGCAAGTTCATTGTGCACTTTACTTTATTTGGATAACTGAAGGAGCTTTGACCTTCCATTTAGAATAACTGTTCTACTGCATTTTATGATTACTGAGAATATTTGTTTAAAGAATAACATTTTTCCTATTCAAAAATAATTCACACCTGTTAGCGACAATTTTAAAAAGATAAAACAATGTATCATGTACAATAATAAATATATTTGGCATGGTCTGTCTTCCCTAAAATGTTTTTAGTTATTACAAATCACATTTGTTATTACAGAGAAGAGTCTAACAATACAGAAAAAGAGTTGATATCACTTAAATCTCACTACCTTGATTTAGACACAGTTGGCATTTGACTATGTTTTTGTGCATTGCTTTATGTACACACACACACACAAACACAGATACTAATGTATTTAAATGTAATCATGTCATATATATTCTTTTTTTAACCATGAACAGTCCTGTTTATTGTTTACTTGTGATTTTTCCTTGTGTCTCTCCTTTTCTTTGTTCCTTTATTCTCTGTCCTAAACAACATATATTAATGATACATCTCTATGCATAATCTATCCACATATATTTAGTACATTATATATAATATAAATTATTTAGTACATTATATATAATATATAATATTTTATATCTGTATATATAAATATACATATAAAAACAGGGGGACTGGGCACAGTGGCTCATGTCTATAATCCCAGCACCTTGGGAGGCTGGAGCAGGAGGATCACTTGAGCCTAGGAGTTTAAGACCAGCCTGGGCAACATGGTGAGACCCTGTTTCTACAAAAATAAAAAGTATTCTAGGTATGGTGGCACCTGTACTTCTAGCCACTCAGGAGGCTGACAGCAGGAGGACCACCTGAGCCCAAGGAGTTGGAAACTGGAGTGAGCTATGATCGTACCACTGCAATCCACAGCCTGAGTAAAGTAACAGAGAGACACCTTGTCTCTAAAAGAAAAAAAAGGGAGACTTGGTCATGATTTTAAAAACTAACATTATATTATATGTATTTTTCTGCATCTGGCTCTTCACCCTTAACTACACATTGCGAAAATCCCCCCCCAAGTCAGTAGCTTTAGGTATCAGGTAAGAGCATCTCATCCACTTCAATGTAACTCTCCTAAGAGCAGGAACAATGGCGTATTTGTTTTCTGTAGCATCTAATATTGCAGCAGGTATAGCACGTACTTAAGAATGAATATGTTGCTATTGTCAATAATTTGAAGTCAGGCTATTGTGAATGAAAATATTTGGGCTGAGCAATTTGTTACAGTTCATTTATGCAAAGCACTAAGTGACATAACCCCATGAAGTTGATAATAGTATTATTATTATTCTCATTTCACACACTAAGAGGATGAGGTACATAGACAATACATAACTCTCCCAAGAGTACAAAACCTGTGCATTGCAAGACAGCATGTTCAAGTCTCACCAACTCCAACCAAATGTGTTATCCCTTGTATTTTGTGAACTAAATAGCAACCATGATAAAATCAACATGTCCAATATGTATAAGAGAGTAATTCGATCCTGAGGACTCACACTATGATTTCTGCCTGGAGCTTTGCATGCAACTCTCATGGACACATTTTTCCTCTTGCTCCTTAGAGTCTTTTATGGTGTGTAGTAGACATGGATTTTCACATTCCATTTACAGAGGAGAAGAATAAAAACACAATGAGGTTATTTTATCAAACGACATACAAAAAGTCAGTAAGGGGAAGAGACAAAGAAACCAGTTCTATTAATCCCCAGGCTAGATTTCTGCCTCCAACAGAACCTGAATTCCGGAAAACCTCATTGAGCTTACGTTTTATTATAAAAGTGAATCTCAGCACTTGATTAATTTATGGCTTTAAGCAGAAGGAAGGGAGGAACTGTGGTGCTTCGGTTGGAGCTGGTGCATAGCTGGGGACGCAGAGCCAAGCTGTGGTTCACCTGAGCTGGTGTGCTGCACAGATGGTCTGCATCAGGATCTCCAGGAGTGTGTGCAGAAAAGAGCGAGCCTGGGTCCACCCATGGAATCAGAATTGGGGAATAGAGCCTGGAATTTAAGGGATGGACTCTATGGGCTATACTTTTTTAAGAGAGGGGAATCTCCTTATGTTGCCCAGGTTGGACTTGAACTCCTGGGCTCAAGTGATTCTTCTGCTTCAGTCCCCCGAGTAGTGGGGATTACAGGTGTGAGACCCTGCACCCAGCTTCTGTGGGGTATACTTTTAATAATACCAGGCAACTTTATGCATGCCAACATTTGAGAACAACTGTTTTGCCCTTCGAAGGCACCTCTTGGGCATCTTGGCTTAGCGGGAAAAGCTACCACTTAAACTGTGGGCTCTTGGGGAAGTCACTTGAATTCTCCAAATCTCAGTTTCCACATCCATAAAACAGGGATAATAGCACTTAGGAACACATAGGGCTATTATAAGAATTAAAAGTCATGATGTAAAGATTGTGGGCCGGGCGCGGTGGCTCAAGCCTGTAATCCCAGCACTTTGGGAGGCCGAGACGGGTGGATCACGAGGTCAGGAGATCGAGACCATCCTGGCTAACACGGTGAAACCCCGTCTCTACTAAAAAAAAAAAAAATACAAAAAACTAGCCGGGCGAGGTGGCGGGCGCCTGTAGTCCCAGCTACTCGGGAGGCTGAGGCAGGAGAATGGTGGGAACCCGGGAGGCGGAGCTTGCAGTGAGCTGAGATCCGGCCACAGCACTCCAGCCTGGGCGACAGAGCGAGACTCCGTCTCAAAAAAAAAAAAAAAAAGATTGTGGCACCCAGTTAACCATAATTGGTATTAAACTCACATTAATCATAGGAGAGGAGGCTTACGAGGATATTTCAGAAACTATGAATCTGATGAACTTTGCATGACTCTCAGTGTGGAAAGAATCTTGAAGGAAAAAAGTTAGGAATCCAGTGATGCACAGTGACTAAATCCAAGTAAAGGTCAAGATTTTAACACGCTACACAAAGCAGCATTACTCCCTCCTGACATTCTTTTGGAGCAGATGGATGGGTAACATAATGGAAAGCAGACCCAGGCAGAGGCATGGCACGGAGACGGCCGGTTGTGAAATGCATTCAGATGGGGTGGTACTGTTTAGATAATGGTGGTAAAACTATGTTGAGTCAGGTGCCAAATGGTGAGGCACCGATGCCAAGACAAACTGA